TACCCAAGTGCAGTTGTTTTTACTAGGGTACGTAGCTTAGTACAATAATTTTTCATTAATATTATGGAAAAAATTAAAAGTTTTATTAATTAACATAAAAAATACTCCGAGTATTTTAAAACAATTTAATGATTAAAGTAACAAATACTTGTTTAATAAAAAATGTAATATTGTTTTTTGCATATGTTTCTTTAAGTTTTATATATTCTGTTAAAATATAAATTAGAGTGGGGAGAATTTGAAATGACCAAAGGAAGCGATAACTTCAACAATACTAAATACTGTGACGATTTCAACACACGTCAGCGTGTTGCAAAAAATTCTATTTTCCTTAAAACTCGTAAGAATCATAATTTAAAGGAAGATGCAATTGTTTTTATTAGTTGAATTACACTGAAATGTTTTTCCAAATTATTATAACCAACTCAAAATCAGGACGAAACAATTAATTAAGAAGCGGAAAAATCTCTATGATCCCAAAATGCGGTCATCCTTGATTGATAGAATCGGTTTTAGAAGGTCACGTAAATTATGCTGTATATTTGTTTTTGATATGGAAATGTTCAATTTCCTTTGTGTAGTTGCCTCGTTTCTGAAGCTATGAAAAAATCACAACTGGAAATACGAAAATGCATTTTCAATCCAATTAGAATACAACATTTGTAAATCCTTTTAAACACGTGATTAAGCGCCATTTTTCAGTAATTTAATAAAGATTGGCATAAGAGTAACGTCGTCAATATATCATATCGGGATATATACTTGAAGATAAAATTCAACTTCTATTTCTGGCACCATTCATTTGAAATTAAAACACTAAAATTCCTCAATTAATTCTTAGTAGCCAGTAGTCACCACATAAGTAGATTTAGCTACGATATATATATATATATATATATATATATATATATATATATATATATATATATATAATAAAAGGCTTAAACACTAATATTCCATGGTCATTATGACCATGGAATATTAGTGTTTAAGTTTTTTTTATTATATCCTTACTCTGTCCTGGACATTGAGTTCTACCTGGATTCTTCCTCTTGAAATTTTTATTCTAAAGATATACATGTATGGGTATTTATATATTTTGCATACGTATGTATATTTACCACTAATATTATCTCTCTCTCTCTCTCTATATATATATATATATATATATATATATATATATATATATATATATATATATAGATAGATAGATAGATAGTGTTGACTTCAATGTTCACTTTTATATTTACACACGCTCGATCTTGAAGTACACAAGGCACAGTGGATAAAGGTGTTGGTTAGATCCAGTGACAGGACCCAAAGAGTGTGAGTTGAATACTCGGTTAAGGCAGTGGAGAACTTTCAGAGGGAAATTAACAGGAGATAACAGGTAACTGATATCCATTAGACATGGCACGTGGAACTAGAACAGTGTACCCCGGTGAGCGAAATAAAGGGTTCAGTTCGACATTCCAACCACCTGAAGAAGGCCGGAGCGTACAACGGCCGAAACGTTGTGATAAATATGGCGACAAAGATGTGGACAATAGTCCGAATAATGTAAATGATATATATATATATATATATATATATATAGTAGAAAACTTTATAACCGCAAAGAACAAGCGTAATTTCTTCTTCAAATTACAAGGCATCTTAATCTAAATTAAAACAACCGGTTTCGTTCCCTGTTATCAAGTTTATTCTGGGAATTAAAAAAAAACGTGTAAATATATTCAACGAATGGGACAATGAGGGGGAGAAAAACTGTATTCAATGAAACTTGAGGCTAATAATATTTCGACTCAGAAAGCAATCTATCTGCTTACAGAGAGAAGCTTTGCTAGGTCTTTTATACGGGGATTCTAGAACCTTATGATGATATGATAAGTGTGACGGAGACAACATTGAAAACGGTCAAAAATAAAAGCCTCCTGTTATTAATAACATGTTGAGAGATCGATGATCCGGATATATTCGTCAGTTGACTACTACAAGGGCACGGATTCAAAATTCTGTTGGTTTATTCTAAAATCCAAACGCTGGGAAGTCGCCCCTATACTGTCGAGACCACAACTACATTCATATTTAAAAATCACAGAATTGGTGGGAGGAAAGGACATCTTTGTGAATGGAAGAAAGAATAGATCGAGTACCAAATATTTCTCGGACCACAGCCCCAAAATAACATCTGCCAACTGCAATTGAAATTCGTCTAGCCAAAGACTCATCCTCTGAACCAATGAAAGCCAATCCATGTCTGAACTGTACCTCCTTATATATATATATATATATATATATATATATATATATATATATATATTGAACAATAAGAAAATTAAAAATTAAAATCTTTAGACACACTGGGTTATAGATTAATATTCTTTCGTTTTTTTATTATTATTCCATTTAGATTCCTCGACTAGTTTCGTCCAAAATGGCCATCATCGGGAGGAGAAATATTTCTGCTTGCTGATAGCACTTCATTTGTTTTTTTTTATTTTTTTATCTTTTTCACATGAATCTTTTAACATTCCTTGTGTTGGTCAAACAGTCTCTTTTAAGTTGTTATTTGAGATAAGAGCTGGACTACAGGGATT